TGTTAAATAAATGGTTATACTGTTCGGCCCGCGAGTTTTGAGTTTTGGCCCCCTGTGCAATTGAGTTTGACACCCCTGCTCTATACTGCTTGTCATTCTATATACTTTTTTTTGAAAGTTCAACAAATAGGGTTGGACAGTTTTTAACTTCAGATATTTAAGTTTAGACTTTTTTTGCATGTGGATAAAAGCTTACCCTTCCAACTTTACTGCTTCACAGAGATTGACTTTTTAACTTGTGAAGAAATTAGAAGCAGTTTAATTTACAAGAAACACAAGTACTTGTTTCTGAAGCTGTGTAATGCAAAAGCATAATACAGCATTTTCTGCTAAATTTAAGGTACTGGGATGTGACTCTTCAAATAGAAGTGCACCTCTATTGCACCTCTCTTGGTGGAATGAGACAAAAATAGAAAAACTTACACTCAATATATTAAGAGCAATATATTAAGAGCAATATTTCAGTCCATGTCTTCTTGCTGAGTGTCTGAGCAACATCTGTTGCTAGGGTGATGTGCATTCTGAGTGCACGCAAAGGGCAAGAGCATGATGCTCCAAAAATGCTGGAGTAGTGGAACATAACAGCAGGCACAAATTAGAGTAGTTTCACTTTTGTTTTAACTTGAAATAATGGCTAAACTGACCCCTGACTGCTTGCAGAAAGTGCTAAGAGCTCTGGTCCACATGAGGAGCTGGTGCTTAAAGTAGTGTTGCTTTCTCTTGGAACATATATGTGAAAATAATCCCTAATGAAGAATTAATCATTAGATCTAATATAGAAATAACTCTGACATGGTTAAGGTTTTAAAATTCTGAATTTATTTACTTTAAATGATTCTTGATATACAAAAATCAAGGTTTTTTGTCTGAGTAGCTGCTGCATGAACAAATAGTTTATATAAGAAAAAACATAACTGATATAAGATCTGCATACAAACAAGTCTGTGTATATGCACTATAGTTTAAGGTCCACATTTTCTATTGATGCACAAGCTGTCAGTTCCATATTTAGTGTTAGTAACACCACACTGCAGTTATTGGTTGCAAAAGCAATTAGTGAAATCCGTGCAAGGAGAAACATCTGAGTTTTAGGCCTTAAAATCTTGAAATTGTCCTATTTAGAGGTTTAATATTGACAAGGTTATTTCATATGATTTTTTTTTGTGGGAAAATGGAGGAATATTTTGAAAATATAGATGTAGGGCATGCAGCTTTCCTAAATAAGATTTTAATCTTGCTTGTGTACTCCAATCTTAGCTCTGGTTCAATGCATTTAGTTTGTAATGACTATAGCCAAATACTTTCTCTTGTGCCTTTTTATAAATGGTCATATTGTAAACACGACTTGCCTGGTCTTTATCATTGGAGTTACTTGTTTGGTAAAAGTGACTGAATTGTTCAAACAAGTCAGTTGAAATTATTTTTTCTCATGTTACTAATTTTTGACATGTGGTACCGATCAGAATACGTTCGACTGCCCATTGTCTATTCCAGGGGTCGGCAACCTTTCAGAAGTGGTGTACCAAGTCTTCATTTATTCACTTTAATTTAAGGTTTTGCGTGCCGGTAATATATTTTAACGTTTTTTAGAAGGTCTCTCTCTATGTCTGTCTATAATATAACTAAACTACTGTTGTATGTAAAGTAAACAAGGTTTTCAAAATGTTTAAGAAGCTTCATTTAAAATTAAATTAAAATGCTGATCTTAAGATGCCGGCCTGCTCAGTCTGCTGCCAGTCTGGGGTTCCGTTCACTTAGGCTGGCAGCGGGCTGAGTGGTGCCAGGGGCCGGGACCCCAGACCAGCGGCGGGCCGAGCGGCTCAGCCCACTGCCAGTCTGGGGTTCTGTCCGCTGGCTCCTGCCAGCCAGGGTCCCGGCTGCCGGCCCCACTCAGCCCGCTGCCGGTCTGGGGTTCTGGCTGCCGGTCTGGGGTTCTGGCTGCTGGTTCCTTGCCAACTGGGGTCTCAGCTGCCGGCCCCGCTCAGACCACTGCCAACCTGGTGCTTAGGGTGGGGGGTGGAGATGTGGGGGTGCAAGAGTCAGGGCATGGGATGTGGGGGGGCTGGGTATGTGGGGAGTGCAGGAGTCGGGGCGGGTGGTGTGTGTGTGGGGGGGCTGGGTATGTGTGGAGGGTGCAGGAATCAGGGATGGGGTTGTGGAGGGGGATGCTGGGGTGCAAGGGGGGTGCAGGGGTCAGGGCAGAGGGCTCCCAGCCAGGGGGCTGGAGGGATACGCCCCACTCGTACCCTGCTTCCCCCTGCCTCTTCTCCGCCTCCTTACCGGTCTGAGCAGCGAGGGTGCTGGGGCTGCTCTTCTCCTCTCCCTCGCAAGGGCCATCGGCGGCAGGGAGGGAGAGGAGGCGGGGCTCCACGCAGCACGTTGGGGGAAGAGGCGGGGGAGAGAGAAGCTTGGCTGCCGGCGGAGCCTGCCCTACAGCAGCACCCAGCAGGACCAAGCTTGCTTTTGCCCCCTGCCCCCGCCGGGAGAGCACGGAACCGTGTAGTAGTCTTATTGACTGTAAGGTATACACAACTTGTTAGTAACATACATAGTGTAACACCAAGGTTACATATTTAAACCCAAAAGGCAGAGAGTACGAAGTAATAATTAAGGTTCTCGTAGTAATAGTAAACCATATTGTGCAATTTGTATTCATGTATTTGTATACAAATTCATGTAGGTATTTAACAACCTAGTTAGCAACACTCTTTGGTAAATAGATGCATGAGTCAGTGTTGGACCTGCATCCAGCCTTCCTCTAGGGGAAATGTATATGTGTTTGACAACATGTGGGAATCTGAGACTATGGCTACACTGCCTCTAACTCAGGGGTTCTCAAACTGGGGGTCGGAACCCCTCAGGGGGTCCTGAGGTTATTACATGGGAGGTCGCGAGCTGTCAGCCTCCACCCAAGCCCTGCTTTGCATCTAGCTTTTTTAATGGTGTTAAATATATAAAAACTTTTTTTTAATTTATAAGGTGGGGGGGTCGCACTCAGAGGCTTGCAGTGTGAAAGGGGTCACCAGTACACAAGAATCATTACATGTATTCAGATCCTTCATAGCTATTTGTTTTATTTAACAATGCATGGTGTTAAGATAAGATTGCACACTTTCTTTCTTTGAAGGGAAAAGAGTCAAAACAGACTGTTCCTGCTTTATTTCTTGCTCCCCATTGCTAATAAACTAAAAACATTGCTTACAGTTCTAAGTGCTTAGTCCAACAAGAATTATCTGCAGTCTTCTGTTATACACTATGCAAGACTACAAAGCTTAAATTTGGTTCTTCAGCACCCTGATCTTGCATACAATTTTTAGAAAATAAATTCTTAACAGATCAACAAGAGGATATTAATGAGTGGAAGAAATATAAAGCATTTATAAATACCATTTAAATATTTAATACCTATATTAAATGATACACACTTTTGGTGGCATGTCCTTTATATAGGTAGAAGTAGGAAAAGACTCATGGGCATATCAGGGAGAAGCATCGTTTGCAACCCTGCTTTAAATTGCACATATAACCATCTGGAAAAAAACCCAGATAATTTTGAATTCTCAGGAGATGTTTGATACACAAAGTTTAGACTAATGATCATGACTATAGAGAGAACCATGCATTGACACCATCCTGCAAGCTATAAAGCTAACTCTGTGAAATGCATGTTTTTCAAAACAGGAATTGATTGTCCATCTTATTTGATTTTGATACTTCAAGATTTTAGGTATTCATGGAGACTTCACACTGCATTATTGTTTAATAGTGATAGAGAACATATGTAGTATAGAAGTGCAGGGTCTTCAAATTGTGTGTCCATCCCTTGTAGTGTGGAATAAGATCTCATTGTGTGTTGCTCTCTATCTTTTTTTCAGTGCTGTTTATACAGAAAACTTGTTTAATCACTAATTATCCCCTTTTTTTGTTTCCCTTAGGCAGAGAATCCTCCCAGTGGTCCCGATTGTGGTTATGGTTCTTTTCACCAGCAGTATTGGCTAGATGGGAAGATAATTGCTGTGGGTGTAATTGATATTCTTCCATACTGTGTGTCCTCTGTGTATCTGTACTATGATCCTGACTATACTTTTCTATCTTTGGGAGTCTACTCTGCATTAAGGTAAGAGGAGAACATTTTTGCTCTTCAGTTAGTAATAATTGATATTTGCTCTTAAATTTGAGCTTGTGTATTGTATTTCAAACCAAATCTTATAGTGGAGATATTAAGCAAGAGTTTCTTGTTTAATTTCGATGAGGGAGAAGCTTTTAGGGGGAAAATCCCTGTATATAGTTACTCGAGATTTAGCTTAAGTTCTGAACATTCTCAATATTGTCTTCTAGTATTCAAGCAGCTATAAAATTTCCATGTAGATGGAAAATATAGAATTAAATTTAGAAGAGGGAAGACAATATTGAAATTAAAGTGTTGGTTTTTTTTTTAATTTGCTTCATATTTTTATTTGGATTAGGAAATGGAGTTTTTAAATGAAGGGTTTTATTTTTTTATTAATCAAGCTTTATATCACAATAGACTAGATTCTGCCATTCTTAGGCCAGGTCTACACTACAGACTTTTATTGGTATAACTACATTGCTCAAGGGTGCGCAAAATTCACACCCCTGAGCAACATAGTTATGCCAACCTAACCCCCTGTGTAGACTGCACTATGTCGGTGGGAGAGCTTCTCCTGTTGACATAACTACAGCCTCTCAGGGTGGTAGATTAACTATGCTAATGGGGGAAGCTCTCTCATTGGTGTAAGAGCATCTTCACTTATGTTCTTTAAGTGCAGACCTGCTCTTACTCATGTGAAAGTAGTCTTTCACTCCTCAGGAAGTCCCATTGATTTCAGTGTTTACTAGATCTCTGAATTTTTTTTCAGCAAATAAACTGTTTGCCAAAAAATGCATTTTTCAGCTGAACAAAACTAAAAAATTTGATACAAATTCAACAAATAGTTTAGGACAAACAATTTTTTTTCAGGACTGAGATACTGTCCACAAAACAAGAAGAGATGAGTGAGGAGGAGGAAGTGGGGTGATGGTGCTCTCCTTATAACTTTTAGCCTAGTGGTTAGGCCACGCAAGGGGGGTGTGGGAGACCCCAGTTCAGTTCCTTACTCTGCCTGATGTGGAGAAGGTATCAGAACTTTTCTCCCACACTGCAAGAGAGTGGCCTAGCCACTGGGCCATGGGATACTCTGGTGTGGGTGTCTCAATCTGTCCTATTGAAGCAGTTTATAAATAGCTTTAAATAGTCAATGGAGCTGGGACTTGAACTTGGGTCTCCCACATCCTATGTGAGTGCCCTAACTACCAGGCGCTAAAGTTATTGTGTCCCTCTGGCCCAATGGCTATTCATCGTTGTTCCTAGTGGCAATTCATAATGACTACCATCATCTCCTCCTCCTATTTTGTTAATCTATCCCTTTAAAAATGCTTGAAACAAAATGTTTTGGAGAGAGTGAAACATGTTTTGTCTGACCTGGAATGGATTTTTTTCAATTTGCTGAAATGTTTTCAATTTTTGGTTTTGTTTAATCTGAATCAAAATTATATTGTTCCGTTATCTTCTGAAAGGGCCAGAGAACTGAAAAGTCAGTTATTCACTCAGCTCTGGTGTTTACTATCTTCAGTGGGGCTAATTAATGAGTTAAGGACCTGCTGCACATGAATAAGGATGACAGAATCTGTACTCAAGGAAAAATATATCCATTTTATTGTGGACATTTAATTAAAAAAAAAAATTTTCAGCAAGAAAGCGATTACTGTTGTGAAATGAAAATTATAGAATGTTAGATACATACATTAACATACCATGAATTTTGTTTAGTTTTTTATTTTTTCTATCAAAATTTAAGAAAGGAAGAGCATCTATCCAGAACATTGGCTTTTATGATTAATAAATAATTACCTAAAATTGGTTAAAGAAAAGCCCTGACCACAAATATGATACCTCAATAATCTGAAGTCTGTGAAATTGAAGAAAATGTCTGGGCTACCAAATGAATGCTAAATTTTCTTTAAAGATCAGTGCTTTCTGGTTAGCTGGTTAGTATAATTCTCTTTAAGTATTAATTGAATTAATATAGCAGTTCAATATTTTAAAGCATATTAGTTATTAACTTTTCTTACAACATACTTCATTCAGATATACCATTAAGGAGAGGAGACCAGACAAAATGCTGATTTAAATGAGACCAGTGTCACTTTTATTGATTACTTCAATTTATTTAATGTAGTTAATTGTGGTACTGAACACCAAGGCCCCCATCTTGTAGCCTTAAATATGTGCTTTACTTTAAGCATGAGTCATTCAGTTCCCTTAAGAATTTAAGGACTACTTAAAGTTAAGCAAGTGTGTACATCTAGTAGGAATAGGGTGAAAACCTTTTGCCAGTAGATTATGTTCAAATATTTAATTGAACACTGCCAGCTTGAAATGTAATCATCTATTAACTGAGTCTGCTTACCACTGAGTGCCCCCTCCTGGCCAAATGTGGCATCATAGCTCCTTGTTGAGCTAGCCCCCTTCTCCCCCCCACGTCAACGATCACTCCGGTGTGGCAGTTTCTCTGCTTGCTGGTAACTCATCCAATGACTCAGCCCTCTGGCTAGGTCACAGTCTTTGATCCACCCCTTCTGGGGTCACAGTTATCCAAATTAAAAATCCCCCAAAACATCTTAACCTAAAACATTCAGCGTCTTCTTTGTTTGATCAGAATTTCTCCCAGGCTTACCTCCCTGCCTGGAGAGCTTTTCCCCAACTGACTCAGGGCCCTGCAAAAGCCTTCTTGCTCTTTGTACTCTTTACAGGTACAGTGGCATTTTCCTCGTCTTCGCCCCTTTCACTTCCATGTCCTGCTCTGAGCTTCCTGCTTTTATAGGAACCTCCTTCCCCCTCTTTATCACTACTGAAGCCTGGCTTCTTTCATATAGGAATCATCCGATTCCTCTTAGGTGGGGCTCATCCTGTAATTAGGGTTGGCTTAGCCCCTGGCTCTCCTGCCCATGGGATAAGGCACCATGTTACAAATCCCCACTCCAACTTTCAGTGGAGTTCAGATGGGGCTCCATTCTCAACACCTTATCTCTATAAGTGATCTAATTCAAAACAAAATATGGCTTTAACTATCATATTTTTGCTGGCAACTGTCTCCATCTACTTAAACTAAAATCTCAGATTTTTATGTTATCTGCTTGTAAATGTGCAGCTGTCAATTCAAGCTCAACTAGGACCAAAACTGATCTCAAAACTGATCAAAACCACCCCATCTCATTCTTTTAGGGTGCCTCCATCTGAATGGAAGACCATCGCATTTAGGTTAACAACTTATAATTGTTCCTGTCACACCTCCCCTGACCTAGTCTGGGAGGTACATGACACACACCCAGTTAGCAAATGGCTGCTACAGTATACTCTGATGCATTCAGTGATACAGTAATTTTATAAACGTCAACCCAGAAGTTATAAGTTTTACGTAAAGAACTTTCCCAAACCGTCAACATTATTTAAGCAGAGACCATTACTAGACTCATTGAATTCTTCATCAGCCCAAATTATGTTGCATACAGTTAGGCACCTAAATAAATGGTGCCTGAATTTTTCAAAGTTGCTGAACACATGAAAGAGTGCTGTAGGTAAAGACTGTTTTTATGTATTTTTGTATGTATCACATTGCTTTGTTTAACAATAGATTGACCTAGACTGTGCAGGTGAATGTTTGGAATGATTTAAATTTCCTACATAATAAATTCTAAACTTTATGTAAGCACAACACACTTTCATGGCTCAACAAGCTAAGCGGCCAGCTTATAAATCGTGCGGCATTTGAGGCAGTAAAGCTGAATTCCCAACAGTATTAGAAGGGGCCAACATAGTGTTACTCTTCTTACACGTGCCCGCGCGCGCGCGCACACACACACACACATATACACGGTTAGAGAGAATTTAGGAAATCGCAAAGGAACATGATATTATAAAGCCTGTTACCAATTTTACTCTGAGGAGATTGGAACTACATTAGTTTTGTCACTTCCATTATATGCTGTTGAGAATTTATGTTGTTGAGTGTGTAGAAAGGAAGAGATTTGAAGTTGACGAATGTAGAAACACAAGCAAAGAACAAGGAGAGGAGTCGGAAGTTAGTAGTAAGATATCCGCATTAATGATTTTCACTACATGATATAAACTGATCAAAAATACACTGAGAATTGCATTATTCCCATTCCCAGAATGAAATTCACCCTCTTTTGAATACTACCTAATGTCATGAAAATTAACACTTCACAGTAATCTAAATTTTTTGACAGAACAAATATATTTCAAGTTCTAGTTGAACTATTTTATGTAGCATTGAAATACGAATTAAAAGTTTTACGTTAGTTTATTTAATGTGTACACAGTAGGGGTATATAGCTCACAAGTACTTTTACTAAGTGTGTATATTTTTTAAAAGGTCATACATTGATGTTTTATAAAAGGTAGTTAAAGGGCTCCATTATCCCTTTTACATGTACTGTATATGGACTGCACAGTTCTTAGCAGTTGTTTAGTGGGCCCAAAGTAGTCTGAATGGAAATATTAACATTGCTTAAGTCACATTGTAATAACTTTTAAAAGGTTTTATTTTGCCTATAGTATTCATACTAATCTCTTAAATGCACCTTTATTTGGCTGGATTTTAAACATGCACAGAAATTGGTTTCTGTCTTGGAGAGTGGCTGCCCTGTATCACCCCCTGCTTTCCTTGTGTTGCACTGTAGTCACTCCCTACCTCAGTTTCTCACCTCACGGTGGGTCTTCTTGGCTCTTTATGTTCTAGTCAGTTCTAGAGAGGTGTCTTAATCCTCCAACCAAGTCACAAAACAAGAAACTAAAGAGTGCCAACAAACAAGAAGGTTCTTCTGCCCCTTGTGGCTTCTCTTCAGTCCCTTTCTGGGCCCTTTTCCCAGTCCCTGTCCGGATTGCCCTTGTCTTTTTCTGCTCTGAGTTATAGTGCTTGCCCCCAAGCCGTTCCCTCTGGAATTACGCTTTCCCTTCAAGGGGCTGGCTCAGGACCTTACATGAGAGCCTACTTGCTCTCTGTGGTTCCAAGTGCCAGACTCTACTCAGCCATTTTATAAGGCCCAAGTGTTGCTAATTAGCTGCCACCCAGCCACTTAGATAATTAACTAGTCATGGGTGGTACTGGGTTAGCTCATTCTCCTTAGCGGAGCCTATGACAGGTACACTGCTCCTTGTCTCATGTAAAAGGACCAGCCCTTTGAAACCATGTCCAACAGTTTTCTATTTGAATTGAATATATGCATAGGTATAGAGTCCATTTAATAAAACACTTGAAGCACTTAGTTTCCATTACATGTAAGCATCATGTAATTTTAAAAAAGTTAAACATATTAGGATCTCAATATCTCGCAATATTCCCATTAGTAATTGGGGGGAGGGATAGCTTAGGGGTTTGAGCATTGGCCTGCTAAACCTAGGGTTGAGAGATCAATCCTTGAGGGGAGACCATTTAGGGATCTGGGGAAAAAATCTGTCTGGGGATTGGTCCTGCTTTGAGCGGGGGTTGGACTGGATGACCTTCTGAGGGCCCTTCCAACCCTGAAAATTCTGTGATTCTAAATTAAAACCAAATGTTGCTTATCCCCTTTCCTCTTCAAATACACATGGACACACAGATCCATTAGACACAGAGTGGTGAGCTTCCATCCAAGTTTCAGTCAGATGCATATTTAAACTTCCAAGTTACAAAAGTTTTAAAAAAGAGCATTATAATAGAAACACTGACAACATCTTTAGTATAGCAGCAATGCCCAGTGCCAGTGTAATAAAAAGAGAAACTTATTGTGAAGTATTGTGATGCTTTTCTCTCCTAATTTACATGAGGAAGTCCTATAAACAGGCACTATATATGTGAAAAATAGCTTTCGCTGCATGAAGATGGAGATATTTGCATATAAATCGCTAGAACATACACAATAGAATAAACAAGAAGCTTCTCCTTGAAACTTGTTGATTTTAAAAATGCTCTGATGTTTGCCTGTACTGTTTTAGCCTGTCTCTATACAATGACTAGGGCAGATTTCTATAGGACTCCAATGAGCATGAATATTAACAAGAAACCTGTTAAATGGGTGCCTTTAACCTCTTGCTATTTGAATTTCAGATCAGCCCATTGGTAGGCCAAAAATGAGGCTCTTTTGCTTGAAATGGTGTTTTGAGTTTTTGTGGTTTTGAAATAAAACTGCTTTTGAGTTTACAATTTTCATTCTTTACTTGACTAGAGTTTTGTCCTTTACTTAAGCCAAGAGTTAGGGAACTGTAATGTCTTTCTTTTATAAAAAGAGTACATATATCTATGAAGACTTGCATTCAAATTTATTCCGTTTTCTTCACTTTCACAGGGAAATTGCTTTTACTAGGCGACTCCATGAAAAAGCTTCTGAGCTGTGCTATTACTATATGGGTTTCTACATTCATTCATGTCCTAAAATGAGATATAAGGTAAAAGAGTGTTTTTATTACTATATTAGCATATTTCATGCTGTTTGAAATGTCTGACTGTGATCATCGTACTATTTTATAATTCTCATACTGGATTTTAACATGGATTTTGCAGGGTTACAGTCGAATGTTGGCTACTTTTTAACGTGGATTAAGAGTTAATTTTTGTTGCAAATTTATTTTTATGTGGTATTTATTAAAATTTGGCTTAACATTTTTCACTAGAAGAAGTTTTCAAGGATGTCAGATAGCAGTATGTCATATGATTGGTTACCTGGGTATCTCAGATTTGCAATATGTCATGTAGTGTACTCTTGTCTTTTTTTAAAAAAATCACGTGACTGAATGTGGAAATGTTGGGCAACAACAACATACCTGCATGGGTCTTGGGTATGCTTGGGTTTCTCCCATTTCATTTTTTGTAATAGGGACAGAGGAAGTGCTGTACTGGAACAAACCAGTGGGCACCTAGTTGAGTATTGTTTCTCAGATTGCTCAGAAAAAGGTGCAAGAATCCCATAATAGAGAGTTTGGAATAACCAACCCATAAGAAGTTTCTTCTTAACCCATGTTAGTTTAGATTAGCTTATGTCCTGAAGCATGAGGGTTTTTGTCCCTTCTATTTTTGGTGCTCTCATTATCTCTATGAATGTAAGTTCTTTTTTGACTCCTACTTAAACTGTTGATCTCAATTTTGTTGTATGTTTCCCAAAAAGTCTACAGAACAATGAAACAGCAAAATAAATGTGTCGTATTAATACATTTCTTTTGCTGGCTGAAACATCTTTTTCTAGCAGCTTAAAGGAATACAGCTGAAGGTAAAAGGCTCAGTGCCACTTCTTAATAGATATCTGTTCAAAAATAATGAATGTAAAGTTTGAACGCAGTCAGAGGTGCATTTATTTTGAACACTAATTGGTAGAAAGGATGCGAATAGACCTGCTGAGATTTCAGTTTCTGATACGAGGGCACTCTAATGTCTAAAAAAGCTTGTGAGCTTTCTAAGCTGTCTAATTGAAAATGAAGCACGAGCCATCTCAATTTTGCTGTGACACATGTTCAGCATGTGTCCACGATTACTCATTTCTCCCTAGCAGGCAAAACAAGCCTGTTTTTGTATAAAAAAGTGATCATCCCTTTTTCCTTTGCCAGCGTCAGTTTATCATCTGCATTCACCAGCCAAAGCAAAGAAACAGTTAAATTTGATGTAGCCAAGTCAGTGAATAGCAATATACCACCTCTGTCTTCGTGTCTCCTTAGAATATCACATCAGTAGCTGAAACTATGGGTTTTAATTACTTGCCATGATTTTTGGTGTACATTAGACTTTTGGGATGACTCATGACCATTAAGGCACCAGAGTTTAACATCTGTAATCTATTCTGCAATGCAACATTTGTAGAGGAATGTATTCAACTTAATAAAGTATCTGAATAAGAAGAGAGACACCTATTAATAACTGATAAGACAAACACTATGTCTCAACTCTTTAGGATATCATTATTAAGAATCACCTGTCAGCCACTGGCAGTAACTTTACTGAACAAGGTGAACTTTGCATCCCAGGTTTGAAGAAAGCTCACATACTAGCCAATGTACTGAAGTAACCAACAAGCTATCAGACTGTAAAGACTAAATGGTGCAAATGTATGACTGACCTCCACAGCCTTTTTACAGTTGCATTACTAACCACAATATAGCCTGAGTTCTAGTGAGGTAAATTCTACTGTTTGTTGTTAGTTAAAACTGACTCCAGTGAAAATGTGACCTTTTGTAGATGTTTCCAGCTTGCACGCTGTTTCTTGTTAAATTCCTACCATGGAAGTAGGGCTGATTTGATATTCTATGCCCTTTTTAGTTACTTGGAACCAAATTCTGTCCTCAGTTACACCTGAGCGACTCTTTTGACATCAATGGGGTTACTAGAGGGTACTTGGTCCTTATTTAAACCTATATATCTCAACTTTAAATGTCCCAATTTGAAATTCTGCATTTGCAATACCAGAAAGATGTCAAAAAAACAAAAACAAAAAACCCCAAAAACTATACATACACAGAACATGTGCAATAGCAGGAGAGGAGGGAGAGTGAAGATTTATGGAAAAGGTTGCCGTTTTTTCTATTTAACACTCACCACATATGATGTCATTGCAAACCAATTTGATATTAATTCTGTAATACCCCCCTCATTACTAAGAGTAATACTCTGGAAACAAATCTTAAAACAAAGCATTGAAACCTGCCCTATAAAGCGAGGAGTGGTTTTATATATGACTGGTGGTGGATTTAGGAATTAAATAATTACACAAGAAATTTCTAATTTGACATATTGGTGTTAAATTGAATACTTTGCTTAATCCCGGTTTTAATAACTCCCTTCCTCCAATGATGCCAGTCTGGAAAAATATGAAGAGATGTGACTAGAAGCTGTTCACCTGATGTCATGGTGAGCACAATCAAATGAGAGAAGATGGGGGCAAGGAGGTGCTGAGAGAACCAGTTATCCTATAATCTGCTCTGCAGGGTTATACATTTTGAGACAGTTTAGAAACTGAACATAGTTCACCATGTGGCTATTCACCTATTAAATAGTGACTTTAAAAGGGAAAATATATAATATAAAAAACAACTTGCTGCCAACTTCAGCTGGAGTTGAAGATGTTATTGCTTTTAACCAATAAAGTAAAAAAGGGTTGGGATAGGGTTTCATGGGTGACCTCCCTTCTTTCTGTGCTGTGCTGCTGCAGTTGATATATGAAGTCTTTTGAGCTGGGATCCCCCCCTTGGTTTTAAAGAGAGGTGCTGCTAGCAGAGCATTTTCAATGAAGACACTTCAGTTTTGGAATTCAGACTCTCCCTGAATCATCTCATCTGCCAGAGTTCCAATCTTTTGATCTCCTAAATGGTTTGCTAAGACTACAGTTTTCCTTTGGTGTTTGGGGAAGGGGTGGCTGATGACCTGGGATGTATCAGAGTGATTATTTTATTATGATTTAGTGATGCACTTCATGTGGATGTAAAATTGAAGTCCTTGATCCTGTGTTATGATCCATGAGGGCAGACTGCTGTTGAAATAACTGGGCACTGTGTGCATGCAGCAGTCTGCTTTCATGAGTCACAATACAGGATTGGGGCCTTAATTGGTTGTGTTCAGATTAAAAAGAGACCCTATTGTGCAAAGTGCCTACTGCCCAGGTGAGCATTTTAAAACCTTTAATAAAAAATGTGGCTCAAAGCAGAGAATGTAAACTCACATTTGTAAACACCAGAACCCTATTCTGACTTGGCACTTTTATGGAATGCTGATCACTGACCATATCCCTTTTGGACATTGTTTCTGTTGTTGAGAGCATGTAATATTCCAACTTAACCATTTTAGAACAGAATTGTGTAGTCACTATATATTAATGGCTTCCTTTGTCCTTTGTAAGTAAGTGCTGGATTGCATTGTGTGCTATATAGAGAGCAGATGGGAAGTTGCCCCATCTGTAGTTTTTATACTCATCACCATGGTAATTGGGCATCTGAAGTGAATTTTGCTCAATTAAAATTAGAGGCCTATATATTGTATATCTTTTTGTGTAATATATTTTTATAGTTAATGTAAATCCTTATGCAAGAGTATCTTGGTTTGGGCAACCCTTCTTTAAGTATAGCCCGGGCTTAACCCCAATAACGTTTAGCAATGCTGAGCAAGTCTGTACGGACAATGAATACATTACATCTTTAATGGTAAATGTTGGCCCTTTTCATTCACGAGATGCTGTTTCCGCAAATGCTCATATGACTCTTGGCACACAGTGATAAATAGTGTGTAATGCTGGTTGAAGATCAGAGGCTAGAACATAGGGAAATAGAATCCTCTGACCGTAAGTCCCATGGGACTATAACAACACTTAACTATTCTGACTTCCAGGCAAAGGGTTGAATGACTAAAGGATAATTTTTCAGCCCTGGGAATCAAGCATGTAGCTACAGTAGTTATTAAAAAGGAGTAATGTTTGACACCACCACCTCTCAGATCTCCCATTTGACTGTAAATGTGTCTTAAAACAGTAGTTATAGCACCAATTAAATTATTGTTAAACTGGAAGTGGGGAACAGGAATGTTCAAAAACCCTGTCATATGAGTTTTTTATATTCCCATCACTTTCCAGATTTGCTTCCATAATGGGTTAATATTTATTAATTGGTGAAATAAAACCCCCATAAAGCACAAATTTAAGGATTTCTGTAAGCCAATTAACCAATATGTTAGTGTGTGGAAAAAATACAGTGAATAAACATTAAGCAGTGATATTATTCCATTTATTTTAGGGTGGAACTAAAACTTTTTTATGCAACCTCATGATCTTCTGGTAAAACTTTTCAGACTTACTCTGTTAAATGTGATGGTTTTTATGTTGGAAAAAGTAGTCCGCTGGAAAGTTCAAAAATGTCAGTGTTTCCACGTTCAAAAAAGCTCTCCAAGATTCATAATGCATGGTGCCTTTTTCTTAGGCCTTTTGGAGTCTGTGACAAAGCTCCAAGCACAAAAAAGCATTTTATTTTATAGTGATGGTAGTTTCGGACTGTTCCTGTGTATTTTAACAACTGTTAATATTTCCCAGTTAAAGGTCTGTGTTTACTGGTACAGTTACGAGATCAAATAACCAAATTCAGCTAACAATCACTCCAGAGATCTTGGATCCTTGGGAAGGATCCTTTCTCTCTTTCTCTCTATTGAGCCTCCATTTGCTGCTTCCTGCTTTGTAATTCAGAATGGAGAACTTTGACTGGTCAGTGGCTACACATGCTTAAACAACCTAATTCTTCCAGTCTTTTTTCTTACACTGTTTTGGGGACCTTTTAGTATTTTGCTTCCTTTACACTTTCTGTGACTGTTGCATCCTGGCTCTCTCGTGGTTGGTATCAAACTGCTTTTTGTTTCTGCTGTTCTGGTTTCAACAATTAGTGTGTAGTTTGCTATAAAATAGTATTGACTATGAAATAGAGTTTTA